GGTGCCCGTGGGGGTTATGGGGGTGCGGTAGCCTGGTTGTTATCACTCTGCGAAATTTTAAGGGCAAAAACTGAATATGGGAGATTTTTTTTCTTAATTATTTAAAAGAAAACTGAAATGCAGTTGAGAATGTCGGCGACGACAATTAAAGCCAGTTCAATAAAAAAAAGACATTTGGAGGGTGAGGGGGTCTAAGGGTCAAGGATTTTTAGTCAGAGTCAAGTAGTATGGTTTGGTCTAAACAAAGTCTCATCCTCTTCTTTGGTAATGGAGTGCAGTAAAACAAGAATATGACTCTTGAATTTCTGTAATGGGGTTAAACTAAAAACGTGTTGAATATCATATTTTTGAATTAAATTTCGACAGAGGATCTGAGCAACATAAAAACAGTTGGTAGTTAGAACTGATTTATGTACCGGTAGCTGAGGAACAGATATTCTAACATTGTGGGAGTATCTTGTGAAGTGCTGATATCTGACTGCTGTAAGAATCGTGTATGAGTTTTTGAATGTGTGATTAAGAAGGAACTGGATGAAAAGATGTCTGACCGGTAGTATTCCCGTCTCACAGAATAGAGCATCAGTGGAGTACCTTTTATTTTTTTCTAAAAGCAACTTTCAAAATTGATTTTTGAATTAGATTCAAGGGTTCCAAGGTGGTGTGATAACATGCTCCCCAGCAAATAATTCCAAATGAAATCAAGGATTGCACATAAGCAAAATAAGCTCGCTTTACGTCATCCTCGTCTAAAATTTCACTAAATTGGTTAAAAGCATGGATATATTTACGAATCTTTTTCTTCAAGAAATCTACATGCTCTGTACCATTTCATTCGGTAGTCAAAATAAACACCGAAATATTTATAATAATCTACCCTTTCAATGTACTCACAATTACATGATAAACTGTTATGGTTGCCGCAGCAATGAACCTTCAAATTGTCTAGACTATAATCAGTGCTGATACTGAGTGATATCGGAAGGAATTTAGTCTTGGTTACATTAAGTGAGAGCACATTTTGATCTAAGCATTTCTTTAAAATTTAGAGGTCACCAAGAGCTTTGGACCTGACATCCTCCCATGAACAACCCTTTATCAAAACTAAAGTGTCGTCGGCAAATAAAAACAGTTCACCATTTAGGTTGAGTTTAGAAATGTTGTTTGTATGGATTAGAAAAAGTATAGGTCCCAGAGTTCTTCCTTGAATAACCCCATACTCAATTGAATTTGCATCACTATTCACACCACAGATGGAAACCACTTGATGTCTGTCAGATGAATAGTTTTTGAACCACGTGAGAGCAGTGCCTCTGACACCGATCTGTTCCAATTTTGTTAGCAATAAATTTCTGTCAATTGAGTCGAATGTTTTTTTTTAGATCTACAAATATTAAGATGGATCGATTGTTATTAATCATTGAATTATTTAGGCATATAGATTTACAAACTTCAAAAAGTGCATCAGAGATGTTTTAATCTTTTCTGAACCCAAATTGTGAATTAGATAGTATATTGTTACTTTGAAGGTACTCCAGTAGCTGTTCCTTAACAATACGCTCCAAAACCTTGGAAAATAAGCTTAACAATGAGATTAGCCTCAAATTGTTTTTATCTTTTGGATCACCTGATTTGAATAAAGGAATAACTTTTACTGTTTTAAATTGAGCCGGGAATATACCAGTCAGCAGAGATAAATTGATAAGGTGTAGCAGCGGAATGTAAATTATGAGTGTGTTTTGTTTGAGTAAATCAGCCGAGACCTCGTCCAGACCGGGAGCTAAGCCACCACGCAGCCCAGAGATATGTCGTAGTACGTCTTGTGCAGAAACAGTTTTCAATGTGAAAGTAGAGTCCAGTCTGTAGTAGTCAGAGTCAACAACCACCGGGGTCCCGCCCGCATCTATCTGATTTGATCAATTTTCTCCAACAGAAGCAAAGAAGTTGTTAAAATCATCTGCATTCACATGTTTTGTGGCTTGCGTATGATCAGACTTGTTAGGAATGAACTTTTCAATTGGAAATGAGTTTTTATTAGGTACATGATCTGCCAGCAATATTATTGATCAGTCCCCAAAATAATTTGGAATTTTGACTGTACTGGTTGAGTCTTTCCCTGTAAAAATCTCTTTTGGCTCTTTTTAATGGACTGCTTAGGTTTTATCTGTAATTCCGGTAATAAGTTTGTAGATTATCATTAAATGGTTGACGGTGTGCAGCTTTATTTAATTTGTCTCTAGTACGTATTGATTTGACCAAACTGTCTGTAATCCACGGTTTAATTCTCTTACGTCTAGATGATCTTGTAGTTATTGGGGTTTTTTTTTATCGCAAATTCAAGGTTTTTGTAAAAGAGTTCGGAGCACAGATTGACATGTAGACAGTTTAGGACAAGTCCCCAGTCGGTCTGAGAGAGATTTTGAGTGAGTAGGGTGTGATCAAGGTAAGTTTGAGAAGGTCCAGTTGCAGTGTGAATGTTGAATGTTTGTGTGTGAGTGTATGCAGTGTCATGTATAGTGAGGGCGGTGGCATAGTGGTCGGTGAGGCTAGTGTGCAGTACAGCAGCGCGCACAGCAGTCATGTCACAGTACCGTACAAATATGTGATCAATGCAGGAGGCAGTGTCCTGTGTAACTCTAGTCGGTCTGTCCACACACTGTACAAGGCCGGAGCCAAGTAAACTGTTTAAGTAGAGGTCAATTAGTATATCCTTGCTCAAAAGATTTAAATTCATGTCACCCATAAAAATGCACATTTTGTTTTTATCTATGTTCTGATTGATAGTAAGTCTCAAGTTCACTAGTGAATTGTACTGGATTGCTGTCTAATGTTCTGTAAAGTGCAAGTAAATTGAAGTTCTTGTTGCAGTACACAAAGTCTCCAGTAATAATCCATGAACGTCCCCCAGAGTGAATTGTCGTGCAGTCGCTGATAGAGGTTTGTTAGTAAACACAATGATACCGTACCATCATTGCGGTTACGTTGAGTGGTAGTCAAGTGAGTGTCAAACCCGTCGATGTACGCCCCCACCTCTCCCCTGCCAAGCCAGCACTCAGAAAAAATTATAACGTCTAGACTGGTATTAAAGGAATCTAAGTAAACTAAAAACTCATCCAAATTTTTGGAAAAGCTACTAATGTTATTGTGAAATATTTTCAGGCTCTTTAAATGAGAATTAACAAAGTTAATGTATTGATCTGTGGAATGTAGCTCAAGACAATGGAAGTCGCCGTCATCATCACAGTTATTAGAAAATTGCATCGGCCTAGCCCCAGTCACCTGCTCAGTCAACCGTTGAGACAACTATGACAAGATTACTGTTCTTTTCAAAGATTTATGATTATCTCTTATGTATCAGTAATTTGTATAAAAAACTAAATTTGGGGGAACAACTGTCTATTATAGGATTTGGGATGCCCTCATATGTAAAATATAATAATATAAAACGTAAATGTGTTTGTTTGAAAGTGATTGCAATATAGGTGACGTATATATATATTTTTTTATATTTTGAAACAAATAAATATTGAACATTAGTAATAGGCTAATAGGCCCAGTTTATTAAAGGTCAAAGAAATGTTTAAAAATAAACTTGTACTGTATAATGGTAATGTTTTAGCATTATTGAGACTTGTGGTTTTAATAACGAAGGAATACCACAGCACTACAACACATTAAAGCATTATTGATTTACGAAAATACCCTTTCAACTGGTGCCGATATGCATGCTAAACAGAAAATATCCAAAATCAGACCAAGATTTTGAACCAGAGAACTTATTTTATCTAAGAAGCGTTTAAGAACTAGCACCCAAAATGACTGCTACTGTATTATACCTGCCCAGTAAGCAACAGTTAACCTACCTAAGTACACTACCCAACTAACGTTACCCGTTGCCGTCCCGTCACTGTTACCGTCTGAAGAATTGTTCTCAGTGTTCTCATTTTTTTTCTACGCCAGTGGCAGTCACAAGGGGTCAACGTGAGGAGAAAGGTTATGTGCAATGTTTTTGCGGCTGTGCCGGGAATTAAATCCGTCCCTTCCGCATCTAAGTCTGAGACACTAACATTTTGTTGTTTTTCGTGGCTAGCAACACACCAAATGGGTTATTCTTAAATATGATATTATTAGGTGCTCTAAATATGTATTCTATTTAATATTGAAAGTTTTAAAATTTGCAATGGTTATCATTGAATTACATTACCGTGTACTGTAATTGCGAATTCCTAACACTGAACTCAGATTTAAATTAATATTCAACTACCTTTCAAGCTTTGACTATTAATACAACTTCTTCTTTACCCAATACGGTACCTAAATTCAAGTTTTCAATCATCAATGTTAAAACGAATGATAACATTAAATGCCGAAAAATTCAATAAAGAAGAAGATTGCGGCCGAACGACGAACGCCAGCATCGGACGCTGTCGTTGCCGTATGTTGCTGAAAGCGTCCGTCGTCTGCCAATCTTCCCTACTTTTCATTACGTAAGTACAAAAAATAGTCAGACTCGAACGATCCCAAGTTTTAGGTTAGAGTTTGTAATTAGACCTTTCGTTCGCCACAAGTGTAAAGACTACAATGAATTTGGTAGAACGATTTGCAATAAACATTTTTAAGTTCCCCTGGTATAACTTAATAGTTTTTTATCTATACAAAAAAATATTTTGGGGACCGCCCTTGTTACTCCGTGTTTTTCTAACCAAACTAGGGCCTAATTAAGTACTTTTCTGTAGAGCTCTAAACTCGAATGTTTAAACTTTTTCCCCGAGTAAGTTAGTTGTCAGTAAACTAGGTTCACCAACAAACTTGTGTTGCGACATGGGGAGATCTTAGATTTGAACTAAATACTCCCTCCGTCAAACACAAGTTTTGTTGGAGGCCTTAATTTACAAAAAACCCATGTACAAACCAAATAACTTAGTTTTAAAAATAGCTTAAACCATAGGTAGGCCTACCTACTAATTCTTAAAACGTAAAGAACAACTGAAATTCTTGCTTACCCACAAAATCACACTGTATTTCAGTCCATAGTTGATTTAGTTCAAAAAGATATGAAAAAGATTCTCTGATCGCCTCATTCCTTTCTCTACTTGCCCATTTAAATAAATCTTTCCAAACAGTTTCTTGAGCATCAGTAAAGTGCTTTGCAGCTGATCGGAATTCTTTTAAATCTGACACAATCAAGTTTAATTCACTGTGGCCACAACTTAATGATTTCAGACGTACACTGCTCCTGAGGAAATAAAAAATGAGTACAAGGAAGAGTAACTTATAGGCTACGGTAACAATAACTTAATTTTTTAATTCATTGCATTGAAAAAATAATTACATAGGCCTATGCCTATTCACATTCAGCGTTAAACTCAGCACAATTTTAAATAGGCCTAAGTTAACTTACCTTAAGCTAAAATTGGAATTTGATAGGCTAATTTACCCTACCTATACAGTATGACGATGTTTTGCAATAACTTATGTAGGCTTCTCGTTTAAGGCAATAACCAAAGTTATGAAGTTTCTGTAATATATTTGACGCAATTTTCAATCTTAACGATTTGTAAATAAAGATCTCTCTCTCTCTCTCTCTATGAATGCTTTGCAATCGGATTGTGGTGTGACTAAGTGATGGATTGCCTAAGTTAACTTAACTTAGGTTAAAGGTTATTTTTCTAAGCAATTAACTAGGTCTATTGAAACAAATTAATTTAGGCTTACGAGAATTTTTAATCATTTTTTGATTCATTAAATCATAACTTACCTTCTCAATGCTTTTGATGCTTTGTTCATCTTAATTCAACAAGTTTGTAAAATAAAGACAAGAAGGCTAGGCCTATGAAAAAGGAACTTATGACTGAAAACGAAAACCTTTTTCATGTACCCTTCGCCAATAGGTTAGGTGCGCTCTGTGTTGTTAAGGTGTGTTTGTTTGTGTTTTTTAGTGCTAGGGTGGAGGTGAAAGGTGAAGTACAGTGCGAACTGCGATTGCCAAGGGAACAGTCAGTTGAAGTTTGAAGTTGAACACTGAACAGTTAACAGTTCAACTAGCCAGAGCCAGACTAGCTGCTACTGCTATAGTATAGCAGCACTATAGTATAGTATAGTAGTTATTTATAGTACTAGTCAGTCAGCAGTGAGCAGACAGCAGCAGAGTCAGTCCCCAGTCGCCTGCCATCGCCACTAGGTGCGCTTTCGCTTTGACGTTCGCAACAGTTCGTCTAATTGCCACTAGGTGTCGGGAGTTGAATTTCCAGTTATAACCATACCGTCGTTTAATTTATATATCTATATTATTAATTCTATAAGGGGCAATAAAAAACTGAACATTTCCCAAACAAATAAACCCAACATAGATTTAAAAAAATCACGTTTTTTCAATTTAAACCAGTGTTAGTATGCTGGAAACGCGTTTTTACTTGCAGACACTCGCAGCGAATTTAGAGAGGCTGGTACATGACCTCACCGATTTGCTTCAACCCTGATCGAATTTCATTGGTGATGTGGAAACACTAAAAAACCAATTTTTAAAAAGCCGAAAGTCGTGTCTCTTACCTGAGACCGATGATTGGCTTATAATTCTCAATAGTCTCAACCCTCTAGTAGAGATTCCACCTCGTTGAGGCGTTTATACACTAAAGGGGGCAAAAATTACCCTAGATCTACTTTGAGCTACCCTAAAAATTACCCTCAATAAATGTTAATGGTTGTGTTAAAATGCTAAATAACCTTGTTAAAATAATATAAATCTTCAAAAAGGTTGTACAGTACTTAGCATAATAAGGTTTCAATATTAATCAATATGTAAAAATATACTCGATTCTCAAAAACTACACGAAAAAAGTACAAAATGTTCGTATTCAGCTCTATGTATATGAAAAATATCGAACCAAGAATTATTAATTATTGTATTAACCAATTACTACTCTTTACGATAATCACTTCATGATACAGCACGGAACTATTACAGCGTTAATCAATACATACAGTAATTTTTAGACACAATCGGTAAAATAATCCTCGTGTGTAATTCAACTCAACCATATAATTAAATAGCAAGAAAGAAGTAATGAATATTTTATTTTATTATATCGTGTTATGGAATCGAACACAATACAATCTAATTCACAATACAGTTTTGATAACGATGAGATCAATGATTATGAAAATCATAGCAAATCGATTTAAACCGGTTGAGTCGCATATCACGGGTTTGCTATGATATGTAATGTATATTTTTTCTCAAATTTTGAAGTTTTTTCATGTTTCTAGTAAAATTTCTATTGTTTTGCTATCTAAATTTTAGTTTTACCCTAAATCTACCATTACTCTACACGTTACCCTAAGACTAAATTACCCTAAAAAAGGTAACTAACCTAAAAGAAGCAACACTGGCAAGTGTCAGTTTCAGTTACAGTATTATTATAGCTCAGTCAGTGATGGGTGTCGCACACATTGACGTTCGCAACAGGTCGTCTAACTGATGTGATTGTCTCCAGAGTTGAATTTCGAATTTCCAGTTTTAACCCACCGTCGAACCTTTTCCAAACAAATAAACCTGACAAAGATTTTTAAAAAATAACGTTTTTTTATTTAAAGCAGTGTTAGTATACTGAGTATATATATATATTTTTATTTTCGTACAAAAAAAAAAAAACACGGGCCAACTTAAATACGCTCAAAGCCAAAGGTGGACTAGGAACTGGCGGCGACGGAAAACAACGCCGTATCGTAATAACCACGTAAATTAACTTGTCTAAAGACAAAATTAGGTAGGCCTAGTAGTAATTTAGTGATCATATACAAATTATGTTTTCCAGATGAGGTAGGCCTCAGTTACTCATGTAGCACACTCGCACTACCACACAAGCACAAGCGTATGGACTATAAATGTAATTGTAGTTATCTAAAAATGTAGACTTCGGCGAAGGCCTTCTCATACGCTATAACATTGAATTTTTGTACTCATACAAATAAAATTACCCAGTCCGGTAGGCCTACTTATTTACGATGCCCCTAGTCGGCCTAGTCCTGTCCTACCCTAGTTAAAAAATGGGCTGCGTCTCGAAAGCCACGAATGTTTATGGCTATAAGCTGGGGAACGAAAGCCACGACAATTAGTGAAGGGTCGAAAAGGTTTTAATCCTGGGGCCGTAAGCCACGACTGCTGTCAGGTCAGGGTGGCAGCTCACAGGGAGAACGGGAAATTTAAGCTCCCTCATATTTGTGCGTCGCAAGCAAATTCGTCGGTCCGATCTAAATCCACCGTGCTATAAAGGTTAAATAGACCTTTGAACTCTACTGCTGTTTTTTTATTCTACTGTCTGGTTATCGTTAGTGTACTGTAGTTGTTTACTCATACAAATGCAATAATTAATTTCAAGCAAATAATAACTCGGGATAAGCTATTATCGTAGGTAGCACGGTAAAACCTAAACCCTAAACAGTTTAACTTTTTCGATTTTATGTTCTCAGAGGCCAAATTTGTATTAAATCTACTTATTTATTCAACAAAATTGGTTATTAATGTGTGACGGACGATTACTGAAGGGAACTAAGGAAGAATTAACCACCAGGATCATCGGACTGATCACTTTGAAAATATCTTAAAATCATGTTTGTTGCTAGAATACTATTCCAGATGTATAACTTAGGAAACGTGTAAAACGTTTAAACATAATTTTTAAATAGTAGGCTACAGTTAGTTCCACCAAAACTGTATTGAAAAGTTATATACAAATATAAGTTACATAAACACCGTGCATGATGTTTTATTATGGTACTTATAACCCCCAGAGGCCTAAACAGTTGCAGGCTCTCCTCTAATTCCAGTAAAAGGTGTTATATTCTTGAGGTGTTATTAAAAACGGTGTTATTAAAACTTGAAGCATATAGGAAAACATTTAACAAAAAATTGATAAATTATTATACAGAACAAGAAACAATTCATTTGACTTAATTAGCAATTTTTTACAGTCAAACAATAACACATCAGACATAAAAGACAAATCTGGCATATACATATTAAACTGCAGTTCCTTGTCTATACAGACCAAACAGGACGAAATTTTCAAATCAGGTACAAAGAACATATTCAAGCAATAAATCAAACAACAGAACAACACAAAACTCTACATTTGTAGAACACATACTTTCTACAGACCATACATATAAAAAATTATAACAAAAACATTAACATAATATACATTATTAACAAAGGGACCAAAATGAACATAAAATAAAGTGTCCACATATATACACACTACTAATAAGATAGAGACAAGATTACACACACAAACCACTAATCCTATATAAAATTATTAGTGTTACAAAAACCAACAACTAAACATTCAAACACATGCTAACAAAATTAACAGCTGTATTTAAACATAACATAATATTTTTAATTGAATTAGGTTAACACTTGAAGATGACATTATATAGTCGAAACATGTTGTGTAATTTTTAATAAAAAAGGAGAAAATACCCCCACCACAGCAAACCTGCCGACTAAGCGAATTTCCATTCGTCCGAATTGGTTATCAATCAAATCTATTAAAATAACATTAGGTTTGACGAGTACCTAGGTTTGCTGCTACAAGAAAACTAATAAAGTGTGGGTTTTTAGTAAAATATTAATAGCTTGGTATAAAAAAATTTGATAGATAAAAATATATCCTTAAACAGGCAAACTACAACATTTTACAATATTCTCCATAATAATAACATTAGAATTTGAAATTTACAATTTTTTTACTTTCTCCCCCTATACCATAGTACGGTATATGGAGAAAGTATTGTTTTCGTCAAAATTTTCGAGTTTGAGTTTTGAGTGGATATATTCGTTTTGGGTCCCCCTGGACCCAAAAAAATGGTTTTTGAAGTGATGTCTGTGTGTGTGTGTGTGTGAGTGTGTGTGTGTGTGTGATCTTGCCACCTTTCAAAACAGGAATTCCTTAAATATTGCTTAAAGTAAAAGAAAAAAACTTAAAGTAAAAGAAAAAGTATCACATTATCAATTTGTACAGTATTACGTTTATGAATGCTATAAAAAAATCGACTACACTAATTTTACCTAATTGAATTAATTATGAATATATTTAGGGGCAATGAGTATACCACCAATTTTTTTTATTGTTTTTATAACTTTTCACTAATTAAATGTTGTATCAAAAAACTGCACACCAGTAGGCCTACTCAGAATTCTTAATATGTATGAACAGATTTTTTCTATAGATTTTTAACTATTGAAATTCGGATTATTATGGTTTACCTACACAGTATTTTACATGTCCAAACAGTTACCAACATTTTAAGTTATCCGATAAATTATATCAGATATTTTTGCATCACTAAAAGTAAATGTCAATGTTTAAGCACAAATACAAGGTTTTAACGATGTTACTGGGTTTGGAAACTTAGGGTTTGTAAGCTATTATTATCTATAATAAATTTTTTATGACCAGTTATTTTATATAATATTATTTATAGACAAACTGGACAAGACCAGAGCTAAGTAAACTATTTAAATTTCAAGTAATTAAGTAGGTTCATGTCCAAAAGGTTTAATTTACCGGAAAAATACCATTAATTCTGTATAGTACATAAATCAAAATTCTTTTTGTAGTTACGAAGTCCAAAGTCCAGCCATAACCCAAACGCAATATTATACAGTAACCAATATTGCAGCAATTTCTGATGCAGTAGCTCGACTACTGTATTCCAATAAATAATGTCAATATTGCTGAATAACTACGGATTTTAGGAACATTGACGTTTGGTTACACTATGTCTAGTAAACAGTGAATGCAATGACTTAATTTAACGAAATAGGATATTTTTTAGTTATAATTTAATTTATTTGTATATAATAATTGAAAATTATACATTATTACTACTAGGTATGACCATATGACTCCCTTTTAGAATAAGTTTATCGCGATTGCCATTCTACTTCTTTGATACCAACGTGCTTTGTCTAGCGTCTGACTGAGCTAGTTCAACCAGTCACCACTGGATTTTCAACAGTTCACTCAGATTACGCTAGGATTCGCTAGCCTCGACTTTACTTAGCCG